GGGTTATCATATCTGACTGCATAGTCTTGATTTTACAAATAATACAAGTTTCACTCCCTCACTCACATGGGGGAAGGGGGGGTTAAGGAGAGAGTTCCTTATCAAGAATGTCATCGGTGCTTTTAGAACTATATAGCCACTGCCTAATTTGGTAGGTTAGCATGGTTCCTTTTATGTACAAGATCTTCTCTTAGTATAGGTAATAAATCCTCTGGTAAGAGATCTGGTAGTGACGGGCTGACGGCTTATCACTTTAATTTCTCAGAGACTTCCACATGCACATGTGAGGACACGCTCACTAAACATATATTTGTGAGTGTGCGTCTACCTTTGTGTTTAGTGGTTCTTTTTGGTGGTGGTTTGGCTGGAAATCTGGAGGGGAGCTGGGGCACACCCCCTTCTGATGTCTTTTGAGTTAACCAAAAAGTCACATACTGAGCCGAGGGTCTCCCGGAAACAGCCTCTCTACCCCCCGGGTAGGGGTAAGGTCTGTATACCCTCTACCCTCCCCAGACCCCACTAGTGGTATTATGACTGGGTTGATGTTGTTGTTGTTGTTGTTGCCTGTTTCCATTCTAAAATTTTCTTTTTCAGACTTCTATACTTACTAAAACTGATTGCTTCATGTTCATTGTGTTTGAGCTAAGTAGATGCACACAAACTCATCACCCATGGATATTTGGCAGCAATTTCCCAGATTGACCATACTTTCTCCTTATGCTGGTTACATCTCTCTAAGCAAAATCCTTGCTTTATTTCATTCAACATCTTCCAAGTTAAATTTATTGTCCCATCAATTGTTACAGGATCGCCAGAGACCAAACTTTCCATGGCTGCTTTCCTTGGTGAGCTGGTTCTTAATAATGTGTGAAAGTGTTAGTGGCAAGGACTGTTGGTTCATCACTGATCAACATCATGAAACATGGTAACATGTCATCAAGAGAGGCTGCTTTAAAATCTCTAAATCAAATCTCGTCTTACGAGTCTAGTGCCAAGATCCTCATAGAAGCAGGTATACTTCCCCCTCTTGTCAAAGATCTCTTCTTTGTTGGGGCTAACCAACTGCCGATGCGACTCAAAGAGGTTTCTGCAACAACCCTTGCAAACATCGTCAACTCAGGGTATGATTTTGATTCAGTTCCGGTTGGCTCTGAATATCAGACACTTGTCTCAGAGGACATAGTTCACAATTTTCTACATCTTATTAGCAACACCGGTCCTGCAATAGAATGCAAGCTTCTCCAAGTTCTTGTTGGTTTAACCAGTTCTCCCACAACTGTTTTTAATGTTGTTTCTGCCTTAAAGCTCGGCCGCAACTATCAGTTTGGTTCAGTTTATTGAGGCTCCACAGAAAGATCTTCGGGTAGCTTCGATAAAGCTTCTGCAGAACCTCTCTCCTCATATGGGTCAAGAACTCGCTCGTTGCTTACGTGGTACATCAGGTCAGCTTGGTAGTCCAATTAAAGTCATATCAGAGAATACTGGTATAACCGAGGAGCAAGCTGCGGCAGTTGGTCTTTTAGCTGATCTCCCTGAAAGGGATAGGGGACTTACAAGGCAAATGCTTGACGAAGGTGTCTTTCCGCTGGTAATCTCGAGGGTAGTTAGTATCCGACAGGGAGAGACAAGAGGGAGTCGCTTTGTTACGCCATATCTAGAAGGGCTCGTGAAAGTTCTCTCAAGGATCACATTTGTTTTGACTGATGAGCCTGATGCCGTTGCACTTTGTCGTGAACAGAATGTTGCCGCATTCTTCATTGAACTTCTGCAGACCAATGGGCTTGATAATGTGCAGATGGTCTCCGCCATGGCTTTGGAGAACTTATCTCAAGAATCCAAGAACTTGACCAAATTGCCTGAGCTGCCAAAACCAGGTTTTTGTGTCTCAGATCTTCCCTTGTTTGAGCAAGCCACCTGTTATAACGGGATTGTGTAAGGTCCATCGGGGGACATGTTCTCTGAAAGACACCTTCCATCTCTTGGAAGGACAAGCCGTGGACAAGTTGGTTGCAATTCTTGACCACACAAATGAAAAGGTTGTTGAGGCATCACTTGCAGCTGTATGCACTTTGTTAGATGATGGAGTTGATATCGAAGGTGTCCAGATATTGTGTGAGACTGAAGGAATCAAACCTATTCTTGATGTATTACTTGAGAAGCGTACTGAAAGTCTACGCAGAAGAGCAGTTTGGGCAGCTGAAAGACTACTGCATACAGAGGATATAGCCCTTGAAGTTGCTGGTGATCGGAACGTGAGCACAGCTCTCGTTGATGCTTTCCAACATGGTGATTATAGGACACGACAGATTGCTGAGCGGGCGCTGAAGCATGTTGACAGAACTCCGAACTTTTCAGGGGTATTCCCAAACACGGGCTAATCTTCGTCGAGGTGTTTGCTTCACCATTGATGAGATTGTGGCCATTTTCACTGCTGAGTTTCTTAGATGAATAAGAGTGTTTTCATGTTGTAACTTGTATGATGCAGGTACATAGTATTTTCTTTTTCTTTTTTTTTTTTTCTTCTTCATAGAGGGGTTTTGTATTCTTCCTTCTTCCCCTAGTCTACCTTTCTGGTGTTCATTCTTTTTCATGTCTATTCATTCTATTTTCTTCAGAAGATTATTGTCCTCTTTAAATGTTTTAAGGTTTATTGTTGTAAAATGTATTAGTATAATTCAACTTTTACGAGTTTTAATGAACCATAAAAACAAGTCTCCATGTTCTGATTCAGTTGATTTGAAGCTTCTGTGGGGTAGCCTGGTACACTAAGCTCTCGCTACGTGCGGGATCCGGGGAAGGGCCGGACCAGTACGCAATCTTACCTTACATTTCTGCAAGAGGCTATTTCTACGGCACGAACCCGTGACCTCCTGTTCACATGGTAGAAAGTCGCCCCTTCTTGAAAATCTTTAGTCGATTCCAAATACTTCTTTTGTCCCAAAATTGTTGTCAGCGAAGTTCACTGACTTGAATTATTTTTAAGTTCTTTTTCTCATTTATATGTAGAAAAAAAGATTGAAAAGGAAGAAGAGCTGCTAAATCATTAAAAAACAGTTTATTATTCCTATACTCAAAACAAATTACAGAACAAATGAATGACCTGCATCAACAGAACTAATTCGAATAATAATGAAATAAACAAGAATATATAGATTAGTTAAACGCGCATCAAACATCCAACAAATGGTAAAAACTGGCCATAACAAAAGAATATGATCAACACTGCACATATTTGACTAGTTGGCATTCAGAAGCTATGTTGCTCGGACTCTTCAGACGGGTGCGTGTCGGATCCTCCAAAAGTAGTGCATTTTTGGAGGATCCGACACGGGTGCGACAACATTTTTGGAGAGTCCGAGCAACATAGTTTAGAAGATCTGAAGCTGAGGAAACAGATGTTATCGTAGGTCTTCTTTGATCCGTCACAAGTGTAGCACTGTGCATTTTTGGAGGATCCGACATAGGTGCGGCAACATTTTTGGAGAGTCCGAGCAACATAGTTCAGAAGATCTGAAGCTGAGGAAACAGATGTTATCGTAGGTGTTCTTTGATCCGTCACAAGTGTAGCACTGCCATGGATTTAGTCAAGCAAGAAGCAGCATCCAATTCATGGGGTAGATGGTTCCTTGAGATATGGCTCCAGCTTGTTCCAGCACCAGATACTTGTCCAACAGTCAAGAAGTCTAGCACCTGCCCGAATATTTTGAACATTTCAACTCCAAATATAAAGTTTTTTTGAGCAATAAACGCAGCGTTCCAATCCATTGGGGCATCAGGATGTGTTGAAACTTCTGTCCAAGTGAGATACATAAGATCAAGCTCCCAAAGCTTTCTTACTGCTTTGTTTCTCCTGCCAATCTGACCTTCTCCTTCACACCACGAGACAGAGAGCATAAATAACCGTCCATTGCAGCATATAAGTTTAGGGTGGTATTCATGAACTCGGGGAGGGAATGGACTGGTTTGGATTCTAACCCAATAGCCTTTCTCAATGTCATATGCTGCTACCTTATCACTCTCCGAATAAACATAAAACATCCCATTGCACACAACCCCCGAACAAGCTACTCCAAAATCTACAGGCAGCCTCTGGATCTCTGTCCATTTATTTGACATGGAATCATAAATCTCCCCAGAATCCAGAGGCTCATCCCAGCATCCAAGACCCCCTACAGCAATCAAGAGAAAGCGTCTTTGATCTTTATTTGAATGTTCGCCTTTTTGTTTGACAAACTTGTACGGTTTCACACTTGGCAAGGACGTAAGCTCGTTCTCATACAGAGAATATCGAAATTGGCGTCTAACTGAAAGTCTATGAGGATCCTCATAAACATCAGATACCCCACCAACTCTTGGACGGTAAAACCTTCTGTCTCCTCGAGTTTGTTGATTCCTAATAATTAAACAATCTGAACTGATCTCATAAGCTCCTAAAATAGGGGATGATCTTCCATGCTTCATTGGTGCAGCTTTACGCCACGTTCTCATCAAGGGACTAAAAACGAGCACGCTTTTATGTGTCTTGAATGAACTCTTATCAACTTTCCCAAAGTTAGTAAGGCTAGAACAGCCTCCAACAACATAAACATCATCATGGATACCGGCAACAGAAAATAAAAACCTTCCTTTCAGAATTTCAGAGTTAATTTTGTGCCATTGGTTGAAGGAAACATCCATTGCATGTATTTCTGCAGAACAACAACCGTCTTTTACAACCCCAAAGAGAAAAACCCATGGATTCTGAAACGAACCTTCTTGCCTCATTCGCCAGAAACGAGGCGTCATGTCAAGTTCTCCATTTCTTGCACACCAGCCTAGCAGTCATGACACTTATAAAAGGAAGCCTTAATAAGCACATTTCAAG